AAAGGATATTTAGTGGCACTCTGACCAAGATAGTGGCACTCCGATCAAAGGTATTTTGTGGCACTCTGACCAAGGATAATTAGTGGCACTCTGACCAAGAATATTTAGTGGCACTCTGATCAAAGGTATTTTGTGGCATTTTATCGATAATACAGAGAGATATTTTGACAGAAAATGTAATATGGCACTATGACCGAAAATACAATGTGAGACAGTGGCCGAGGAAACAAAGTGGCACTCTGACCTCATGGACAAAGTGGCACTGTGACATTATATACAATTTGGTATTCTGACCTTATGTGTACAATGGCACTATGACCTAACGTCCTAAGATACGGAGTGGCACTGACTTAAGATACTAAATGAAGCTCTGACCTAAGAGACACAGTGACACTCCAGCTGGGATACTGTACTTAGTGGACGCTCGTCAGACATTGTGGCACTGACCGACGCCATTACATCTCCGGTATTATATGGTTCAAGAAATACGGCACTCTGATCGATATATATTTATGATATCATAGGTGGCACTTAGTCCATGAAGGAGTTGCGAGTTAAGGCATTATATAAAACGATAATATGTAGGCAGTAGGCAGCAACCAAACAGGGAGGTACTACAGCCTGGGAAGATATTGGAAGCATAATGCATTGTCTAATGGTAGCCCCTGCTGCCATATGGCATCGCAAAAATTGTGATCAAGTCCCAGGTTGCTAATCTGACTTTCTGCCTCATTTACACACAATTGCCGGATTTCAATTGTTTCTTTTACTTTGACAACACAACATACGTATTGTTTTTCACTCTTGATCTGTTTCATTTTTTTCCATTTCTATATTTATTTATGGAGCAAATAATTTGTTCCTTTGCTTTGTTTTTCGCCTCCCAGGCCCCCGACGTGCGTCGGTGACCTGTGCCCGGGTGGGCTAATCTCAATAAAAAAAATCTCACTCGAGGAGATCTGTGGCACTCTGGATGAGAACACAGTCTGTGGTACTCTGGATAAGAACACGGTCTGTGGCACTCTGGATAAGAACACGGTCTGTGGCACTCTGGATGAGAACACGGTCTGTGGCACTCTGGATAAGAACACGGTCTGTGGCACTCTGGATAAGAACACGGTCTGTGGCACTCTGGATAAGAACACGGTCTGTGGCACTCTGGATAAGAACACGGTCTGTGGCACTCTGGATAAGAACACGGTCTGTGGCACTCTGAATAAGAACACGGTCTGTGGCACTCTGGATCACACCACGACACTCTCGTCTTGGACACAATTCCCGTACTTCAGGCTCGTTACAAGTATACAAATTAACGACAAACTCTACATCACAAAATCACTAAAAACGTAAACAAACACACACACACACACACACACTGATGACTTAGAATATACGAAGATGAAATATTGTGCCTGATAAGTGATGTATGACACAATGTCTGGCTTCTAACTTATGTTCACATTCTAAAAAACAATTAATTCCTTTATGAAACACCCAAGATTAAATATGGAACATGTATTCTTGATATTTGATGTGGGAATATTGTGGTAGCCCTGGTCGTAGTTGTTTTTGCCAATTCATTAATATATTTTCTTAATTATATCTAAGCAAATACACGAACATTTAGAAACTCCACATGATCTTAAATAACGATGAATAGTTTATTATTAAAAAAAAATAATCTCCCTTTTAATTGTTTTATATTTATCCTGATAGTGATACACCGAAATATAGATCCACCAATGACAATCAACATTACATACAGCCTTACTTCACCGTGTATTACCAGGTAAAATTGTGAGTATATACGAGAGCCAGGGTGCATGGGGTCGATACATCTTTATGGCTGACTTTACATGTACTGCCATCTTTCTGAAATACCTATTAAACATGTAATTGTCTTTGTACCTGTACCTATAAGTGTTTCTGTATCTGTGACTGTTCTTGTACCTGTACCTGTATCGATGTGAGATAATTCATGAACACAGGGGAAAAACAATGTGTATCAGGTCAATGAGCTGATATACAGACTACTGTACCTGACATTACAGCATCTGGTGTTGGTGCATGGAGGCGCTGACTACGCTAATGAAAGATCATTGATACGAGAGCGTTGATAAGAGAGCGTTAATAGTCTAGAAAACCGTTCATGCAGGCACGCGCGTACAAGAGCCTTAATAAGAAAGTGTTAATACTGCACAAGGGCGTTAGTCCTTCGATACAGCCCAGAGTTCAATCTCAAAAAGTTCGAAAGTTCAATGTTTCTCCGTCAGTGATAATTTAAGAAAGTATCTCACTGCCTCACATTACGTATAAACATAAGGATGGTTGTCTACCAATACGACGTCGAAATTTCCCTGCAACTCTATCATATGAAGTGCACTCACGAGGTTGTATAGCGTTAGTTAAACATTTCCATTAAACTGGTGATTAATAAGTCATATAATTGATCCATTTAAATTAAGGGCATGATGATTGTTGCTCAAAATGGATTCAATTTTACACTGAGGCTCTTTGTGACTAGAAACGCCCTCACCCCTTAACCCTTTCAATATGATGGCTTAACCCCTTGAGTAAGATAATTTAACTCCCTTTAATATGATGACTTAATCCCTTAAGTACAACGATTTTACTTCCTTAGCAGTGGCGCATATAAGAGGGAGGGGGGTGCTTGCTGCTGCCCTCAACTCTTTCAACCCAACGCAACCAGTTCACAAGGACGTAAGTACGAGTACTTAGAAATTAATTCAGGACCATAGTCAGGGGGGAACTTCCAATTGAATAGAGATTTCCGCTAGAATAATATTTCTACAGTGTGCAGAATATACAATATTTTTTTCTTAATTTTTCACACACAAAACTCAGTATAGTTAGAGGTAAATTATACTCAAGCATCCCCTCACCGGATCCGCGGACGGCAATATATAAAATGGTACGTTGTACTAGTCCTGGATCAGTGTGTGCTGTTCCTGGATCAGTGTGTGCTGGTCCTGGATCAGTGTGTGCTGGTCCTAGATCAGTGTGTGCTGGTCCTGGATCAGTGTGTGCTGGACCTGGATCAGTGTGTGCTGGTCCTGGATCAGTGTGTGCTGGTCCTGGATCAGTGTGTGCTGGTCCTGGATCAGTGTGTGCTGGTCCTGGATCAGTGTGTGCTGGTCCTGGATCAGTGTGTGCTGGTCCTGGATCAGTGTGTGCTGGTCCTGGATCAGTGTGTGCTGGTCCTGGATCAGTGTGTGCTGTTCCTGGATCAGTGTGTGCTGGTCCTGGATCAGTGTGTGCTGGACCTGGATCAGTGTGTGCTGGTCCTGGATCAGTACTAATATTGGTCATTAAATAAATCCTATACCATTCAGTGCAGATGGCCTCAAAGTGTCCCTGCATGGCTCCCTATGCTCGCCTCTGCTTACACCACTGGATGGAAATAAAATAATGTCTCTATCTACAAGCCTTGTGACCCCTTTCCTATATACGCCACTGTTCCTCAATACAGTGACTTAACCCCTTGAGTATTATAACGGAATTTTTTAGTACGATGACTTAACTCCCTTGGTAAGAAGAATTAATCTCTTGAGTACGATAACTTAGCTCCTTAATTACAATATCTTAACCCCTTGAGTACGGTAACTTAAAAATTTTATTACGGTAACATAACCCCGTGAGTACGTTAAGTTAATCCCTTAAGTACGATAATTTAATCCCTTGAGCACGATGACATAATCTCTCAAGTACAATAGCTTAACCCATTGAGTACGATGACTTAATTCCTCGAGTACCAAAACATAACCCCTTGTGTATGATAGCTTAACCCCCTGCGTACAACGATTTAATCCCTTGAGTACGATAACTTAACCCCTTGAAAACGATGACTTAATTTTTTATTACGATAACATAACCCCTTGAATACGAAAACTTAACCCCTTCGATAACTTAACATATTAAGTACGACTTAACCCCTTGAATACGATGACTTAACCCCTTGAGTACGATAACTTAACCCCCCAAAACCCAATGACTGAACAAAATGATAAGACCAAAATATTTAACGCAAGTGACATTAATAAATCTAAGTGAACATCGTATTATTTTAAATCTACGATAATCTTAATTCCTAATGCACTTTAACTTACATTAACTTATAAAATATTTGAGAACTTAAATAAGTACTTTGGTCTCACTTATAAAATCGGCGCGTTATATTTATTAGGAGTGAATAATGAATGAATCCAATCAACAAAATCTAACCAAACTTAAAACCCTAACTTGGGCAAACCTATATATATTAAATCAAATCGCATAATGACGATAGATGATAAAGATATAGATAGATAAACTGTAGATAGACAAAGACAGATAAATATAGTTAGGAAGATAGATTGATAGATATGGACAGATATATAAAATAGACAGATAGAGAATGACAGACAGACAGATATTTAGTTAACGGCATCAAGCAAGTTCGAACTGGTTTATCATACACGTAAACAACACAGACATGGTAGTTTGTGCGTTTTCTGTCTAACTAGTGAAAGATTATTGGTTATATTTTGATTATAAGAGACGTTGATAGTACTGACACATGCAAGACACGGGTATTTACTACAGTCTTCCATCCCACACGCCTAATATTATCTGTACCTACACGTCTACGCTTACTCCCACGCCTACCAACACACACACACATGCTTACTACACGTCTACACACACACACATGCTTACTACACGTCTACACACACACACATGCTTACTACACGTCTACATATACTGTACACACACACTCATACTAGCAAACTATACGCCATCACCAAACAACACCCATGCTTATGTTGTATACGCGTCCCACTCACCCACGCCCACACACATCCACGTGGGCGCCGCGGGTTCCTCACAACCAAAACAAACTTGGCCGTGTCTGGTGTCAACCCTTTCAACACCGGGCCGGAGCTGTGTGTGTGTGTCGCTCTTAGATAGAAAATCCAAAGTTAATTCTCTTATTAACTCACCAAATGACCGTCGTCTTCCACTTCTGGGTGCTCCATCTGATAGACGGCAACGGGCTCTCTGTTTTTGACCCGAATCTTGACGGACTTGACGGAAAGTTAGTCCGTATTAGCTTTAAAAACACTCGCACTGGCCCTGATGAACCACCGAATACAACTGAGAGAGTCAAGAGGAAGGAGTCCAGTCTTGGGTACCGCTGCCAGACGTCACCAACCAAGACGAGAGAGTGACGCCAAACTAAAGTGATTTACTCGACGTTACACTCGTATTTTATGGCCTCAATCACCATAGGGTACATTGACACGATACATATACGGATTTTATCGGTATACAAGTTGCTTCAATATACTGTACCATAGACAGAAGTGAACGTAATGCTGATAGGTGGAGAAAGAGCCGACGGCCGCCTTGTAGCCAATGAGTGCGCGTGTCTCGGCCGATATTGGTGGGTTAAGGCGTGGCTATCACAGGAGGCGGAGTTTAATCCCCGGTGATCGACCAATGATAGTAGTTTGATAGCGTGGCGGCGACCTCATACGTCACTACTGGTGAACCCCGCAACCACCTTAATGGCCAATAGGCGAGGAGGGGGGCGGAGTTTGATATCAATTTAATTCACCATAATGGAGTTCCTCTGACGTAGCCATCAACCACCTCACAACTGACTAAGTAGAAATACAGTCATATGTCTTACTTACGAGATTGAGAAGACATTGAGTAACCCTTATACGGTATCCTTGACAATAAGGGCTTAGGTAACGAGTTAATTAATCCAGGTGGTGCGTAGGCTATATAATAAATCCAGGTGATGGGTAATTAATCCAGATGGTCGATAATTAATCCAGGTGGTAAATAATCAATCTAGGTGGTATAAAATTAATCCAGGTGGTAAGTAATAAATGCAAGTGGTAGATAATCAATCCAGGTGGTATAAAATTAATCCAGGTAATCGATAATTAATATAAAACGTAAGTGGTCTTTGCACTGATGAGACCATATTCCAATTGATTATTGGGTTCCTGTTAATTGCATGTCCTAGTATGGGCAGTAATCATTTAGGGTTATCGAATGCACTAATGACCCTCTATTACCTTATACACTAATACCTAAGTTAAGCTATCTTGCCCCTTTTAACTAACCACAAATACTGATAAATGCTCAGAATAAGAAAAAAATTACACAAATATTATAATTTAAAGAATGAAAATACATTGAAAATATTCATGTTCATAAAATTTTATTCTTCAGATACGAATGTAATTTTTTTCCAATTTTCTTTAAATTATTTGTTACCTATATTTGCTTTATGCGTATTTGTAATTTTTCATTTAACAAAAAAAATAGAATTGGATGTGATTCTAGTACAATGCTCTTAGGGTGATTTTATTTGTTTATTTTTTTTTTAACTAAACTCTAATTTTTTGTATTGCTTCATTCTTTTGGGTGTACAAAATATGGTTTTTGTGATGCACCAACCCAACTGTTTTCTATAACTTAATCTATTACCTATGACTTAAATCAATACCTAGGCTATAATGTAATGCAATACCTATATAACTTAATGCAATAACTATAACTTAATCTAATGCCAATAATTTGATTCAATACTTCTAACTTAATTCAACATCTATCCGAACTTTACCCACTTTAGCTTAATACCTTATTGTAGAATGTAATCCCACTGTAACTTAAGCTATTAATCCCAAATCCTTTCTTTAATTTAACCGAATTTAGCTCAGCTTACCTTAGCACAATTACAGAACTTAAAAGAACTTAAGTTGAGGGTTTTATTGGTGGAATTAACTGCTATAGGAAATTATCTAGTGGAATTAACTACTATAGGAATTTATCTGGTGGCCTTAACTGCTATAGGAAATTATCGGGTGGAATTAAGTGCTATGGGGAATTATCCGCTGGGGTTGCCGGTGAAGCAACTGTACCTCCGCCCACCGACCTTCCTGGAGGCTCTGCTTTAAGAGACGCTGGTGTGGTGCGGGGAGGTGAGGCGGCTCTGGCATACGCACTACAGGCTGCAGGACCAATGACCCATGTATGTCTTAACCCCTTGACTACGATGGCTTATTAGGCCTTAAAAATAACCTATAACTTCATCTATTCAACCCAACCTAACTTAACCTAACCTAACTTTACCCAACCCAACCTAACCACCCTAACTTAACTAAATAGAACAATGTAACCTAATTTAGGTTAACTTAACTTACCCAAAGTAACTTAATATAATCTAACAAATTATACCCTAACCTAACTTAAGCTAACCTAACCAAACCAAACTAACCTAATGCAACCTAACCTAATCTAATTTAATCAAGCTAACTTAACCTAAGTAACCAAACAACCTAACCTAACTTAACCTATCCATACAAACCCAAACTAATCTAAACAAGTTGATCATACGTATTATGAGTATGCTCAATGTTTAAGTTAGTTAAGTTAGTTTTGTCAGGCTAGGCTAGGTTAAGTCAGGATAGGTTAGGTTAGTTAACTTAGGTTAGATTAGGTGGAGCTAGGTTAGGTTAGTTTTTAGTTAGGTTAGGTAGAGAGATTTTTAAAGCAACCAATACCTTCAACGGTTCAACCACAAATATCCGCCTGTCAGAATGTCAACCGGAAATAAGACCCACCAAACAATTTCCGGGTTAGGTAGAGGCGGATCTAGAAACTCTCCCTACAGATCCCCCCACCTTCCCTCCCTCTCGACTGGACTCAAAATTATGGAAGGAAACTTTGTGGGATGGTAGTAGTGTAAATGGGTAAAGGGAAGGTGACAATCCTATGGGATAGGGTAAAGAGGGTGTAAGTAGCCTTAATGGGATGGGTAAAGTTAAGCTACTACGTAGTCTTTCATTACCTTAAGTAACTCATCCTCTCATGACTGGTTGACTACAAGGACAACCCATCCAGGAATGGCCCAAAGTGGTTGTGATTGGTGGGGGTTACCAACTCGCCACTCAGCCTATCAAATTTGACCAACTAAAGGGGATTAAAAAATGACCAAGCGAACGACAAATTTCTTATAAATGTTTAATTATTAGATATTAGCATAAAAATTTGATGGATAAATTAAAATCTTTATTCAAGTAGAAAGAAATAATGAAAATAAAAATATGTTTGTTTATTTACTGCTTGGATAAAATCAGCAACATTAACCTATTCATAGAAATTAAAAAAAAAATTTTATTCCCCTTGTTTTCTTAAGTTTCCAGTTATCTGTAATCTTTTGAAGATCTAACTGATTAGTTACGTCGTTTTCACATGCATATGAGCATAAGATTATGCACCGTTTTCTGAAGTTCTGTTTCACACGGATGTGTTCAAAATAGCTTAAGCCTGTTAAAAGACCTTTCACTTTTATATACTGAAGGTGGTACAGTCAAGAATAGACCGAAAACTTTTGTGGTTTTTCCTACACCAGCTCTACATATTCAGAAAAATAATAATGTTGAACACTTCTAATTCAACTCGGAAAGAATTAGTGTCAGGTATTTCAGGTGGATAAGGCTTCTGACAGATTTTTCATGGCTTCAATAAAGCTTTCTGGGTCATACTCTGCAACAATACGATCAAGAACATCTGCAAAATTAAGATTTCAGATTTTCACATGTTGAAGTCAACAAATTATACTGAGCACTTGAGTTCGGATCATCTTTTTTTTTCTTTTTTTTTTGCCGTTTCCTTTGACGGCGAATCCTCTTGAACTCTTCTCCATCATCATCATTATTTTTTGCAAAGTTGAGTGCAGCCTCCAGCAAATGTTTCTGAATCTCATCCTCACTTCGTAATGACAGAGGTATTTTCAATGTACGTACTCTTCATAGAGATAAGAGCCCCAGAAACAACTAAATCCTCGGTTTGCAACACATCTACCATGTGCTTAGTTTTGTACATAATATTTTTCATGAACATCAAAGCAACCTTAAAATCAAAAGTCTTAATTTTGTAGAGGAGACCATTAGCTTTTGTCCTTGCTTCTGAATCATCTTTCTTATTGACATTTCTGATATCCACTGACTCGGGCCTGGCACACCATCTTGTCTTTGATAGATTTTTTTAATTGCAATACACCTTTAATTTGTGCCAACTTTTCCTTAAGAGCTGCATGACAATTGGTGCTACTGCTAAAAAATACATAGCAAGATTCCAGTACACCATACATATTTGTAATTAGTTCACTTGCATTGCAACCATGCTCAATCACTAAATTAGAGCCACGAAGTAGACAGGGAATGTAAGCATCAGATAATTTCTTTTGAACATCATTGTACTTTCCAGACATTGTTGCTGCACTACATTAGGTTTGAAGCCTCATGGTATGTGTCAATTTTACTTTCTGAAAGGGATTTGAGTATTCTTCTTGGCAATTCTTGCTCATATAAGTACTGTGATAAGCTCTAGCATCTCTCTCAGTAAGCCAAGCTTTCATTGTAGTATTATGCCTACCAAGAAATTGAACAATCTTTTCAAAATTAGTCAATATAATTTTCATTCCGAAATGATAAAGCTTGTCTAGCAAGTGTGCGGGCTATGTCTAATATCATCACAACTACTTTACGCTGCTTCTGAAGGATTTTCTCTTCTTCAATTGGCCCATTCCTTCTATTTTGATCAAGCGATCTTACGTCTGGCATCATCATAACCGTTTAAAACACGATCCACTGTGCTACCTCTTGCTACCAGTGTGTGTGTCCTTTCTTGACCATCTCCCTGAATTTTTTAGATAATTGTGACCAATTTCTGGCAACTTGACCAACTCGAGACCAATAATTTGGGGGGTGGGGGCCCCAACCCTCCCAGTCCGGCCATCCTTAAACAAATCACTATTCCGCCATATTTTTTGTTTCTATTGTCTTTAGATTTGACGATCTTGAATACGGCCGATTGTCTTCTACTGGGGAAATGTATTTTTTCGGAGTTAGGACATGTATTACTATTACTGTATATAGCTTGTCGTAGAGTAACGTTTACCTTCTTTGGTAACTAAATAAACCTTTAAAATCATACCTAACCTTTCCTAACTTGTAAAAATGTTAAGAATCGCTTTTGAGCTCATGGACCCCTCCTCACTTGAGCACCATCACATACTAAAGACCGAAAAACTCCACCAACTACTAAACACCGAAAGCATGAATAAGTTACGCTTTTTATATTTTTAGGATTTGTGAAGGTTAGGTAAAGTTTTCAAGTTTGTTTAGTGTTTTTAGTATTTTACCCCACTTTGAGCAAGTAATATTGTTGGTAATCTTATCGGATAATATACTAGAATAATATAAATTTTCGCCAGTCAGTCGTGGGCAAGGCATGGGAGGAGGTGGGTCTAGTCGTGGACGGGTCGTTTGAATCACATTACTATGCTATTATATTACATGTCCTAACTCCGAAAAACAACATTTTCCCAATAGAAGGCAATAAAGCAAAAAATTATGGCAGTTATAGGGAAACTCAGAATGAAAATACAGTAATTGATGTTAATTGTATCATGAATAATTTCAATATGTTTGCACAACAGCATATCTAATTTTCAATTTTATTTGTTGCTGTGCGCTTTGTAGGCTGCATTACCTCTTTTAGTTTCTGATTTTTAAAATTTGTAGGTTTATAACATTTTTGTTTAAAACGTACTAGTTATTTTCTGTTAAAAATTATTCACCTTTAATGCCACAATAAAATGCACATAATTAAATGATTACTTTTTTTTTGTCTTTGAGAGTAAATGCCTCGAGCCGCTCTCTGGTCCTCTGATCCCCCTAATTTCTAGATACGGCCTTGGTTTTGAGTATTAAATCATAGCGAAAAACGACGTCATAACTCAAGTTACGACCATCTCTGGGAGATGACATAGTAAATATTTTTTTTTAGTATCCCGCCCCAGGTGTTTGAGAATCGATGAGCTTATCTCTAATACTGATATCTTGAGGCTCTTATATAGACTCCACCAGGGGATAAAGAGGCTCTCCAGTCTTGTTGAACGCCATGAATGTGAAAAAAAAAAAAACATTATTTGATTACATACCTGCAATATCTCAGTATTCGAATCAATGTGAACTTGTATAACAATTTTACTATAGAAAATGTATATACTGTATGTATCTACAGTACTCACATACTGTATGTATCTGTAATAATAATAATAATAATATTGCAATAATAATACAACTACTACTACTAATAATAATAATAATAATGATATTGTAATAATAATACAACTACTACAGGTACTACTACTAATAATAATAGCAATAAACATGTGGTTGCACATTCACACAATTTTAATTTTCATCGTCAACATTTATACAGACAGGTAGATACAGTATATATCTATTAAATAAAATCATCATAAAAGTTTACATTGATTCAACATGTATTTAAACAAAGCAGATACACAATATTTATAGACAGTGCAGGTATATATATAATGTACAGTCTGGGTCAAAAGTCTTGAACACTTGACAGTATTTGGCATGTAAGTACCCTTAGATCTTCGGTAATAAGGAGTTTTATCTCATTTTGTGGTTCAGGCATAATATGTGATGGCAAGTAGTGTTATTAGTATATCCCAATCATATATGTATAACTCAGAAGTAGATGCCAGATATTGCTAATTGTTCAAGACTTTTGACCCCGACTGTACCTTAGTCTTAGTCTATCCTGGCGATTAGTGTTACAGTCTTTACGGATGCCAGAATGCAGGGAGGGTGGCAACAGACAGTCAACCAACCAACCGACTGACTTAGGATATGTCATAGCTTATGTTAAGTGTAACGATAAAAAAAAAAAATAACAATAAATAAAACCCTCAACTGAACAATACCTTTGGACAATAATGACAGAAATACTGTAAAAGGGGTCCTAGACCTTCCAATGCTCGCTACAAACGGGGTCAAATTTAAAATTTACAGTATTTTATTTACCTGATGACTTATTTTTTGCTTTCATTTACTGTATTTTGTCATTCTGTTTCTTCTTTTGTCTTAGATTAAGTGATTTTAGATGTATATAAGGACTTAGGCTATGATATAGTAGGATTTTAAACCTACGAACGTCCTCAGGAACAGAACATGTTCTAATAATGTACTGATAATCTAACTCGTTACTTTTACTGCATTATATTTCCTTCACTGCATTACCCTTCCTTCATTTTTCCTTCAGCAAATTAACCTTCCTTCAAAACACCTTCCACAACATAAAATAAGTGAATTCTACAGTATACTATACTTATATGTGTGCACTATGTAGAACCTGTTAAGTACCTGTATACAGTAGTATAAAGGTGGAGGTCAGCCACACATGTACACACCACTGTTCTGAAGTACATGTGAAGATTGAGCCAATTGGCAATGGTCCTTCCTCCCGACGAACTCCACTCTACTACAACTACAGTACTCTTATGTCTGTCTCTTATTAGCCTACAACAATTACTCTCTGATGATACAATATTGTACCAGAACATTGATAGAAATAGTGCTTATGTATTATCACCTTGAGTTATGTACCTGCACCTATATATACCATATGTGCCCGTTTCTTTTATAATAAATATAATTCAGTGATAGATTGACAATCCCCGAAATGACCATTACAGTTTAATAAAATTACACAGTCTTATGATACATAGTCTTACAGTTTCATTTGAGTTTCTATTATAAAGTTAGGAACAAAATGCTATGAGAGTTGGACCAATCAACAGTGCAGTGACTGTGCATTCCCCTGACCTTGAAAAGCATGAAAATTAAGTACAGTACGGTACTGTATTGTATATATTGTAGGTATACATAAAAAATGTTTGCTAATTTATGGCTATCTTTATTTTTCTCTTCACTTTTACCTGACTCCTTGATTTTACTCTCCTCCACTGAATTATCTCCCACTATAAGCAAGAGTGGACTGTTTTATATATATTGTATTCAGGCACTCCTCGACTTACGACCTACTTGACTTACGACCACCCGGACATACGACTGCCGCAGTCGTACAAAATATTTTTCAAATTACTTATTTTTTGAGTCCCGACGTTAGTGATCGCGCTGTGTACTGACAAAATTTTCGTTTGTAATTCCCTTTAAAATGGCTGGCAAGCATAAAGTGAGAGTTCTCGTTGTGCTGAGAAGAAAAAGAGACACCCATTTTAGATTTTCTATGTATTATTTTTGCATTTTTGACTTACGACTTGGTCGTCGGTCCCTAACCCCGTAGTAAGTCGGGGACTGGAAAAAAAAATATATATATATACAGTATATATATATATAATCAACACCTCACCCTGCCAGGATTCGAACCCACGGTCTTATAATTGTACCGGGGAACGCTACCTCAAGGCCACCAGGACACCAAAAGCAGTCCTAGACTCTGTTATATTTCACACAAAGCCTGTTCAACGAGCTTATGGTGCCGTAAACCTCAAATGGGCTAATAAAATACATATGGATCCTCGTGTTTCGAAGCCGGATTTGGTAAAACATTGCTCTGATCACCTAAGAGGCACGGGTGGTCCCCATTTGAGGTTACGACTTACGTCCACCCGCACTTACTCAGTCGTACCAAAATGTGGTCAAATTATTTATTTTTGAGTCCCAAAGTCAGTACAGACAAAATTTTCATCTGTAATTCACTTTAAAATGGCTGGCAAGCTTAAAAGTGAGTGTTTTGTGGTGCCGAGAAGAAAAGGAGACCCTAATTTTCGATTTTCTATGTGTTATTTAAGCATTTCCGACTTACGACCTGGATGTCGGTCCCTAACCCAGTCGTAAGTCGGGGAGTACCTGTACAGTGTGTGTGTGTGTGTGTGTGTGTGTATATATATATATATATATATATATATATATATATATATATATATATATATATATATATGTGTGTGTGTGCATAATTAATTAATCTGCAGCTACTGTGTATTTTGACTCTTTAAGGTGGGGGAGATGCCATATACAGTACAGCATTTCAAATGTCTATATAATTGACACTCCAGTAACTATCACCCTTTTCTGAGTATGGGCAATGTCACAAATGATCTACATTTGCAGTTTTAAACAGTTACTGTAATCGTGAAACACTGTTGCATCTCATTACCACCATCGCTTATATCCGGGAATCAAATAGATTTATTTACGGAACTAAATTTTATGCCTCATCCACCTCAAAAAATAATAAAAAAAAAAAAAGACTAACGACCGAGGTAAATGAAGGACGGCCTGTGTTTGTTTAGAATATGACCACCACCTTGCTAAAACAGAAAAGGCAATGTAAAAAAAATTAAATAAAAATTAATCCAATAACAGGTTAAAGAACACACACGATTGCTTACATACACAATATTATTCTCTACAAAGAATTACTTCATCATATGACTAGTGCAAGAAAAACCTGGAGAGAAAATCACACTTCCACTAGTGATGCTATCCACTGTCATAAAATATATTGAAGCTTTATAAAGATATATTACACACAGTCAATGCCACCAGTCTGAAAATTATAATGCTGTCACATACCAAGTTGAGCTCATTTGCCAACAACACCATAACCAAAACATACCTTGTAGCAGAAGAACTTTATATAGTATTAAAGAAATATTACTGTATGAAATCACATTAAATATATATACTGTATATTTATAGCATTATCTAATTGTCATAATATATAATGGAATGACAACCCTGAAAAATAAGTCAGTTATACAGGTGACAGGTGAGATTGGGCCCCAGTTCAAATGGGCCCAAACCCAACTTTACCTAACCCTTAGGATTGTGGGTTATAAGGATTTGAACTCAGTATAATTATTTTAATTAACTCCTGCACCCACTAGGAGTGGCTTGAACTTTAATACAGGTATGTTGTTTTACTATGGTAATTTGGGTCGGGTCTACTAGACTGAGGCCCATTTGACCAGGCACCTGCTAAAAAAAAATATCGACACACTTGTTAGATTGGCACACAGTTTACTCCCCATTTAGTATTGCTGAACTACTGGTTGTGATGATCACATAGGGTACTAGTGTGATGGAATTGGGATGAACAAGGGACACTCCACACAGGGTGCTGATATTAACCATATGATGGGCTAAGAAGGAATAACAGAAAGGCAATTCATACAATATGGTAAGCTTATCCAGATGATGGGATTGGAACTTAGCTAACAGAGGAACGGTTCATACACAATGTTACTGTGTGATGTAACTGGGAGGGACAACAGAAGAGATTTCAATGATAGATAATTGAATCATCTGAATACAAATGGAAAAATGGTTTTTCTTTTAATACAATTATAAGCATGAGCATACAGCAAGGATGCTGAAAAATCTATTTGAAAATGTTACAAGCCTTTAATACACACAGTTATCAGTAGGAGGCATGGCAATAAAAGACTGCCTTATCTTAACATACCGTATCTACTGGCACAAAAAAATGGTTGATGCTTCAGGTTTCATATTCTATGCATAACCTATTGGACAGCTTCACATTCTTGAACCACCTCTATGGGTCGTTGGGTTATAGTAATGCTTGTGAGGTTCACAGCAATACTCTCTTTTAGGTACTTACTAAGATACAGTACTGTATATATTGTCATCTCTTTTACACTTACACCGGCAACTAATAGCTCAAAATCACATGCAATATTTTGACAAATTATTTAAAGGAATTTACATACAACTTAATCTCAAAACAGACAAGTTTAACAACTACTGCAAATACTGAAATGGCAATGTACTGCATCAATATTCAAATTCCTTAAGCTACAGGAAAGTTCAAGATTCATGTAATGCAAAGAATCATGTGTGATTATTAGCACTCAACTGATTACAAGACAACAGTAAATGAATTTATGTTAGCCATCAACAGACCTACAAGTCATAAATTCCCTAATCACACACATCACATCTGATTATTATTCATATACATACTACAATGCAAACCCATATTATCATACTGTAATTCAGAAAAGAAATTTATTGTTCCATCCTTAAGAGTATTACAAACTGTACTACTGACATAATCCTCTCTGCTATTTAAGTCATCTATCACAAACAAACTTACTAAATTTAATAAAACTGATTACAGTACAGGTACTCCATTTTCTGGCCCCACATAAATCTTTATTAGGATATTAAACACAATTATTTAGTGCTCCGTGGATAGGAAAAACCCTTCCTGGTTAGAGCTAGTAAAAATCCGTTTAAATCTCTTATTAACAAAGATAAAAAATGTCTGCTTTAGTGCAGAACATTTACATTACAAGTGACCACCTACACATATGCTGTGCCATCACAAATAATGTCTTTTTAACTTCAGGCTTAGATATTATAAGACATAATTTCCATATACGCTGTAATGTATTATCTCGTGTTACAGTACCTCTAACACTCAAATTTCTAGAGGGTACCAATAAAATTATCAGAAAAGGCCAAAATATTATTCAATGATACTGTACTACAGTAAATTTGATATGAAATTCACAACACTTCAACTACTTTACAAAAATGGCACAACAGGTAGTTGTTCTACTATCTTACAAACAAGTTAGCATTTCACAAGTCTCATTGGTCCTTAAATAATAAAGCATATCTGCAGTGCATTATGTATTCTTTGCACATTTTAGCTAAACAAGTTTTCAAATTACTGTTCAGTACAGTACATACTGTATTATGCTTCAGAGCAAGCAAAAGTAACACTTCAGCCACATACTAAAAATTCTCCACTCTACTTGTTATCAATTAAGTATTGTTTAACTACAATCTGTTATTGTGCCATGTAGGTTAATTCGACATACTGTATATACATATTGTCCAAAACTCAAATCTGACACCACACATTGGGGTACAGTATATATAACCTGTGACACATTGGCTGAAGGCCATAATATAGGAGTTACATACAGGTATAAGGTACTGTACTGGCATTACAGCAGTTGTGCAATACAAGTTATACGATCCAGGCTTAAAACATTTTACAAACAATAGTACCGACAGTGATTTAATGACAAATTGGTAAATTGTTTTAATAACCTTCTCCTCCAATGACTGTGCACAAGATTCAGTCTTCACCAAACATGTTAACACTCTCCAGCTGCTGTGATGTAAGCAATGCTCTTTGTTTGGTCACAGTTTATCCACAAGCTTTCTACTTTGTAAACCATGAAAGAGTATGGGAATATTATAAGGTAAAAAAATTTGATATGCAAGAAACTAGGGAAATTTTGTTTGTAGAAGACATGTAGCGGTGACAAAAGATGCACAACAAACACTACGCTGTTTAGAATATGCAAAATAATGCTATAATTAGTACCAGATATTAATTAATGATAAAGAAAGAAGTCTATTTCTTGGTCTGGTAGAAATTTTGGACGTGACTATTTCTATAACAGAGGTACTGTGTGTATGTGTGTGTATATATATATATATATATATATATATATATATATATATATATATATATCATACAATAAACATTTCACTGCTTTCTGAATATGTACAAGTGTGGTGGCAAAGTGGGAACAACACTTGCCTCCCATTCTATGGAAAGCTGGTTCACACCCGAGAACACCCTCATTCTACCCAGCTGTGAATGGAAAACTAACAAGGTGGTTGAGTGCAGTGCTGGCCACACTGTCTCCTTATGTACAGAAAAAAGCCTTTATCTACAGTGAGCTGTATCAACACTAATCCAAATGGGCTGTCAGATCTATGGCAACCATTTTTACAAGTACCGTACTGTATATCAAATCATTTACCCTAGTTTCTGGCTACTCTGCATCAAATAGGAAAAGGCAGAGTCTTAATAAAGCTTACATCTTTAACTCCCAGAGGAACTACTATTTGAATGATACTTGTCAAGAATATAGTAACAGTATTATGGACACACAAAAGTGGAAGAGCATTTATTTTGCAAGTGAAGGTTCCTGGGTTTGATTTCCATCTGGAGTGGAGGACTGGGTTCCTTCCTTATAAATTACCCTAGTACAGTACAGTACAGTTCTGTACACTGAATAAACATTTGGGAGACTAACATCCTACCAAAGGGGTGAAGTAACCAACTGAATGCTAGGAATCATGGCATCAACACCTGGTCAGATTGTATGTGCAAAGGAAAATTATATATGAATTAAATGGTCACTAACAAGTTATAACATTTTAATAAGTAGGAGAAAGTGACATTCAACTGATGACATTCTTGTCAACAAAGCAGGCACAGCCAACCTACTGAAGGAGCAGTAAAAGGTTTGAGGAGCACAGCCATATCAGTGCAAATACCCCTTCTATTATATATCCACAAAAGATATAACTAAAATAATCCCCCCCCCCCCCAAAAAAATGACTAAAAAAACACCCCCACAATCATGATGATACTTGCTTTACCTCTCTATCAGCTTTCTATTTAATATCTTTATTCCTTTCCTACACGTGTGTGGATTGGATCAAGGGTTACAGAAACTTTAGTAGAGGAAACAGACATGGATCATTGCAGAAGACATGTGTAGGGAAGGTCTAAGCATAAGGCAAGTCTATATACTCTAAACAGATGTATTCCATCCTAAGCTTGCAAACACACAAACACAGTACAATACAGTACCCTGTACTAACCGTAACTCACCTAATTCATGTAAATTCATCTACAATCAACTTGTGCCAACAGAAACAAAGTGCTTGAATACACATAAGTAATCAACATTGTAACATCACTCACAAACTTTGCTATTTTTGCTCCATATGTTTCACAAGTTTCCCTCATTCTCATAATTTTCCACTGGGATTACCTATATCTCCATCCACAAGACACAGTCACTTACTACCGGCAGCTACAGTTCTGAAACCTGAATCCTACCGGAAGTAAGATCAAAAGAAATATCTAGACTTGCCTCCTTGGCGTGTTTAATCCACCTCTTTAACAAGATCTTTTCTAAGTGTATCACTCCATATACCTCGACTAATGTCTTCCATTAACTTAGCAAGACACAATTCATAACATCCTCACCACCAACAAGATCAATATCAAGAAGTTCCAACCACACTGTCTTTTATGATGGATAAAGCAACATTTACAACTGGTCAGAGTAGTATACTAAATTATGACTGCAGAAGAGAAAGAGCTAGGTTTTCCTTCTGAGATGGGGGCATTCAATCACTTAAGTCAAACTTTTACATCAAAGTTTCCATTTCTACCAACCAAGTGACTGATCAAGTGAGCCCCAAGTCCTAATACTGTAGGTCCCAACCTTAACTAATTTCAGGGCACAAGCCTAATAGATCCCAGTCCTAGGGGTCTAAAGCACAATGGAAATGTTAGGTTACGTTTGGAACCCATCAGACCAGTAGCCTATATTCCATACCTACATTAGGTATATACATCTCTTACTGAAGGGTTCACCTAATGCAGTGCTGGTGAAACTTTTAAGGTATTTTAAACAATGAAGGAGAGAGATGGGGAGACAAATAAGAGGGGCAAAACAAATCAGTAAATATGGAATGAAAAATGTACTGGTAAGTTAGAAGGTTTTGTGTGTGACAGCTTGCATCTGGAGGGATATTGTAATGATGAAATAATTACATTAACATATAGAATTTAATTGTCTTCTATACTTAACTTGTCTGTGCAAACTATTTCTTCAAGTTACAAAGAAACTTAGTTAACTACACAATAAATATGCACAAAAGTAGAAGAGTTACATGACTACATTTCCTTACCAAGTAGTAAAGTATAGCCAATTGCATAGTATTACATCTCATATATAAAAAAACATATTAATCAGGATGATAATAACTATAACTTATTACCTTTAATCTGGAAACTTAATACAATTTATCTGTTACCTGTATAAACTCTTCTTAAAAACACAGTTTTTAAAGATGATTGAGCATACGTATTCTTAAAAGAACTGATTTATAAAGTGCTTTTAAAACTTAAATTATTTAAGTTTTTTTTTTTTCATAATGAATGCCTGTTCATATTACTTTCTTAAGTCCATTGTTTGAAACTCAGAAAGGCTCAAGTATTGACTGCTGAAGCTGAGAAAGTTTTTCCATCAAAATCACAAGACTGACCAAATATACTGTATATAGCAGGTCCAGTGAACAGTTGTAAACAGCTTAAAATCACTTTATACATAAATACTCTCAACATCTACTTAAAATTAATTATTTTATATACAATGCTATTAACCCACAAATTTTGATTTTAGATAAGTTCTGATAATCAATGAAAATAGAACTGGTAAAGGTCAAATAATGCAATTATCTTTATGAAATATTTTATAACTTGTTAGCAGTGACAATTACAAAAAGTGTTTAGGAAAATGTTGAATGGGTAAGGAAACACAGATGTTGATCCACATTAATATTAATTTACCTGTTTCCAACACTGTATCTGATACTCTCTCTCACAGAAATCAATTTACTTTTGTGCATTCTCTATCTTAACACATCAACAGATATTGTACCTCTTTTCCTATTTATTCCTCTCTAAACTGTGGGGTCAAAACTAATCTCATTTGTGTACATAACTGATACCTTTGTTCAGCACAACATTATTCAGACATCAATAACACCCTCACAGCACATTAGTTATCACTGAGGATCCCTCAGTTGTGCCTGGTGCTATGGTAAGCTTAATACTTGTTTATGCCAAACAACCGGACCATGTGGAATTGTGGCAGTTTTGGAATAAGTACCAGAAGGAGTGTGGCAAAGTTGATGGCAAAGTGATTGAACTCATACTTGGTGTAAAAGCTGGTTAGGAGAAATCTGCAAAAAAAAATAAAAAATTAAGTAACAATTAATAATCAACTCTCAAGACAAAATACAGATTAGCAATCAATATGGGTACACTTGTTCACGGAAACAGATGTTATAAAGCAAATGAAAAATTTTGTACCATAATGAATCCTAAGTACCGATAAAAAAAAAAAAATCTGGTAATAAACTGAATTAGGGCAGGGTTGGTCATACACAAGCAGCACTCCATGAACAGGTAGGGAAAAATGCCTGCTTGGCACAAGCAAATTTTCAGTGAGGAGCTCATGGCAAAAGAAGCCAGACACAGGTAAATTTTTCTCTCTTAATCAGGCATGCTATGAACGAACTAAGACAGTAAAAATGGCGGACTGATCCTGAAATCCCATTCTATGGCTGACCTTGGAGCTAGGTGTAATCCTTCAAAGTCCTGGAGACCTGACAAAAGCAGTTAAGAATACTCTTACAATCAGTCTATCCCCTCTTAGTGTAACTCCCCCTGGAGAGAACAATAGAAGCACAATTTTTTTTTTATCTAGTAGATTAAAAAGAGGAGACCTGTTGAGCAAGTGACATCACATCATTTAGTGGGCAAATCACCCTTCTTCTTGAGGTAAACCACAATTAACTTCAAGCATCAACTCCATTTCATTCCCAATATACTTCCACACTTATCCATATGAGGGAGGGAGGACTACAAGCTGCCTAGTTCTGGATTCAACCATCAAATGGAATTTAAAAACAAACCATCATTTGTGGCTAGCTACCCTTCACTACACAGCTCATGCAACTGATGCCAGCTAGAAACTGGCAGGAAGTGAAACTAAATATTACAACAGTTAATGTGACGCTGCATCCTTTAAGCAAAGTCAACTCCACTTTATCACAATATGAGGACAAAAGGATATTAGATATTAACCTCATAATAACTTCCCAAGGCTCTACAGAGTCCATAAATGAGGTTTCCTCATCCAAGCAACAGTTCACAAAAACACAACCTGAGGATAAGGTGCCTCTTTTAGGATTGAGGTAATGGACATCCTCTTCAGCAAAGCTATAGAAAATACAATATAAGGTACCTGAAGTTATGAGCTCGAGTTGTGCAATCTGGCTGAGACAGTCTAATGGTCTTGACAATCAGATGAAATACATAATCCTGGAGGCTGCATATTGAGTACCAGTACTATATGTACTAAACTAGATTTAAGAACAATGTTGATAATTCAGTCACTGAAATATAACAATGTACCAGACTGACAGGGCATAGAGATTGATAATAACCATCTACTAATTCTCAGGCGAGACAAGAGCACACACTGGTCGAAAGTTACGGAGTCACATAGTTAACAAAGACCTTAAGACTGCCTCAAATTCATCAAGCCTGTAGATGAATAAAAAAGAAACAAAACCACCATGATTCAAGGTATGGGGTAGAAAACTCTCCTTCTTGATGTTAATGTGAGAAGACAGGCAACATTTGTTGAAAACACCTAAAATCTTTTGACAAATATAGACTAATAGATGCCAATAGTATAAGAATTTGTTCTAAAAACCAGTTAATCTGGTTGGGGTTTCACATACTGGATGTCTTGAATTTGAATCTCAACATAGGGTTGTTTCAGATGTTAATATCTTTGTAAAAATTAGATAATTTTGATTAAATGATTTCCACAAAACTTGGATAGTAAGGAGTCACATCCAATTCCAGACGACAATGGTTTTTATCTGGTAGTAGAAAAAGTTTCCACAAACAGCTGTTACTTATAACCTGCTGGGTGCCAAGTCATTATTACATGTACCTGGGATTCATATCTTAGGTCCTAAGTTCAAGGCTTAACAAGGGGCTGTATTGGTTTCACTAATTATTGTAGAAAATGTACATCAATCACACCTCTGTGTTTATTCCAAGTAGCTCACTCATAATATTAATCACTCTGAAACATTAACTGTTTCCTTTTTAGCCACACTAAGATAACTTTAAGTTCTGTAATTCATTTTTTATTCTGCAACATTTTCATCCAATACACTTACACAGTCATCAGGTACACAACTGTATCATACATATTACACAACCTCCATAATCACACAAATTCTTCAACTTCAGTCTCAACCATCTTGCTCACTGATGCTTGTTCACCGATACTTCCTGAGTTTCCATTATTCTAGGTGTATTACTGCTCTTCTCAGTTCCTCCTTTATAATGTCGGTAACTCCAGAAAATACACACTTTCTCTCTCTGCCTAAGATTTTACTCTGCACAAACAAACATTTATTATGCCTCCATGTATTCCCATCTTCTCTTGCATTGTCTCAATTTTACAGCTTCATCTTCACTCCTGATCATAAACTTTTTTATTACCAATATAGTTTTTGAACACATCCTAGTCCATTTACTTGATTCAATGTTACTATAAAAATATAATTATTCCTTAAAAAAAAAAAACTTTACCAGTTCTCATACTTGTCTCTTTGAACCAAAAGCATTTTCTGAATCAATGAAAAAGCAATGAAATCCCAAGATATAATTTTCAACTCATATTGCACTTACAAGACAATAGGAATGATGGTGATAAATTTGCGAGTTGTAGTAAACTGTTGGCCATAGTCAATCTGTTCCCACGCAGTCATCAGCCGAGACTTCCCTTGATCTAGTAACTGCCAAGGGGTCCCCTTAATCTGATGAAGAAACAGGTAATTTGCCTGAAAAAGAAAAAAAATGAGAGTTAATATTTTGTAGAAGGTAGGCACAGAAAAAAAATTATGTAAATGGATGTGAACTTTGGCGAGATGACAGTGACAAGGAGACAGAAACATAATGGGTATGATCAATAAATGAAGGTGAGGAACAAGAAATCATTAATTGCCAAGGAGATGCACTGCTTCACCAGCGAAAGTTGTCACTGCTCATAAGGTGCAATGCATGACATGAGATACAATCTAATGGATAAGGCACCACTGCAATAAATAAATGCAATGTAGCCTTTCTATCCACTCATATCTGCATGAATCTGGTAGTTGTCTGAAAGACCAGCAGGAATAGTGAGGTCAGAGTTTCAGTTCAACGACTCCTTATTCATCACGACATGAAAAGAGAATAAAGCCTCCTAAATAAAGCTATGAGATGACATAGGTACAAGTGAAGAAACAAAAGAATGAAGTTTAAAACCTGAAAACTCATGGTGTACAACCAGATTTTTTATGAAAATAAAATACACTGGTTCTTCCTATTAATTATTATAAATAATACAATGTGCAATAGTTTGGGGTAAATCCAGAAGCAAGCCTTAAGTTAACACAAATGACCAAAGACCTGTACAGGTACAATATTGTAGAGGAGTTTTACCCTAAATACAGGTAAAAAAAACATACTTTTCAGCAAGGCTAGAGATTAATTATTCCAATTAAAATTCAATGATGACTAAGGAAGAAACAATCAATTCAAATGTCATAATTTTAGAGTCAGTCATAAAGGTTATTGTTATAGTAATATCTCCATTAGCCAGAATCCCTCAAACCCGGAACTCTCCGATAGCCGGAATTGAAATTTTCTCGGAAAATTCCAAGAAAATGTTCCCAATACCCAGAAAATTCCAGGGATGGGGGATTTTTTCCGGGCTTGAGAGATGAAAACCAGGCGCTTTATCCGGAAATTCCGATAAAATTTTTCCAGTACCCGGAAAATTCCGAGGATGGGGGCTATTTTTCCGGGTTTGTGAGATGATGTAATGGGCAATTTCTGAAACTTCTGAGAAAATTTTTCTGTTACTCTGAAAATTCAGGGGATAAGGGATTTTTTCCGGCTTTGAGAAAGTCGCCTCGTTACCCAGAAATCTCTCATTCCCGGAAGTGCTCTACACCAATTGTTCCAGCTAATGGAGATTCACTGTACAGTATACAGTACAATAAAACGGAAGAAAAGGACTGAGTGAAGAGGTAAGATGAGAATGTTACCATAAGTCCTCTCCTCACTGAAAATTCTCCAGAAATGAATGATTGGTCCCCAAGTAAATTTTCAAACTGCCAGGATTGGATGACTCATCTATAATCTGCATGTATATGGGGTAAAAACTTAGTTTGCTAGAACCCAAAACCTGTGACTGGAAATATGAATATTGATTTACTTTGATATTTAGATAATCCTTCCCAACCAAACCAGAACCTCAAAAGGGTACACTTGGTAAGGCAGGTTCTGCTAAAATCCTAAGTGGTGAAGGTTAAGAGACTTCACCACCACCACATAAGCAAGTGTGCTCCTCAACCCAGTTTTGCTTGGCTTGTCCACAATAAAATCTTATCTCCAGCTAATTCGGTTACCCCAGTGGGAGGAGGGAGGGGATATATGTGCCCTAATCGTAGCTCAGTTAAAAAATACCAAAGTAATTCAGAATAAAAGTTTCATTTCTAAGCATGTACAGGTCTCTGGTGACTCATGTATACCCAAGCCAGCAAGAATAAGGATGTAAGAGATATCAATAAACTCCTAGTTATCCTGTACCATTGTACCGATTCAGAGTCTCACTACTGACTGTAATAAAGGTGGTAGCAAGAGAACTAACCAGATAGATTCCTGAATGCCAGAAGATCTACAGCAGGAGTTTATTTATTCAGACATTGGCTAATATATGCTTCAGCTGTTATCGAGTACAGGAAGGTCAAGAATGATGTGACCTTAACAGCCTTAATTAGAATATTGGAAATACAAGCCTTGCTTGCTCCCATCCTACAATAACAACTTACAGCAAGGAATGCTTTGTAAAGTGAGACATTATCCTTGCATATTTATTACCTGCCTTCATCAAATATAACCTTTGGTCAAAAATTGATGTATGAGTCTTTGATAAGAATTTCAAGCTTGGTCAACACTGGAATAAAGGACAGGTGGGTTATAAGAAATGAACCATTGCACCTTCCAAAAGCATGTAGTTCAGAGACCCATTTCCCTAAGGTAAGAGTAAGAAAGAGTGATTTTATAGAGGGTATCATCCAAGCTTCCCCAGAAAATTGTACTGAGTTTAAGAAATATGTGATTGATTCCAAAGAATATGTCACATCCATATCTTTTCAAAGGTTTATTCCAAAAGAAATGTCTGGAAAGATCACCAAAAACCCTTAAAACCCCCAGCAAACATCTCTCTTAGAGGCCTATTAGGTACACCACTTACAATAGTGGGTGAGACTTCCCTAGATGTGATTTATGGAAGGGTGGCTGATGTGAGGTTCTGCTGTCCTCCTCCCAAGAGGGGAGGGGTCCATTTCCCGAGATGGGGAAGGAAATGATCCTATCTTCCCTGTTTCTTGTTGTATTTGTATAACCAATGCTTCTATGGGTAGATAAATGAGAAAGGAAGAAAACCTGTTAGACCATTTTTTTTTACAGATGACCATCCCGGACACGAAGGCAAGCAGAAATTGGCCACTAGGTGCATACGTGACCACGAGCGCTCGCCATTAAAACAAGCTGTCCCCTTAACTCCCTCGCCACTGCGGCTCCAGGAAAGTTCTAGAGGGTCAATATATAGTTTTTATTACTTCTTTTTTATTGTTTTATCATTTAAAAAGGTTAAAAACTAATTTTGGAAAAATTGCTTTTTCTCGATTTACCCAGCATGGGGAGGGGTCAGCCAGCGGCACCCTAGCCCGGGGCATATGGGTTAAGGTGACTAAAGAGGCTGATACAGGACCAGCAGAGTCGTTCACAGCTGGATGATAGCTGAGCATGAGTTGATTTATGTGGTGAGGCAGGAGCGCAAACTGCAACCATACATCTTGGCTCTCCCTTTTCCCGATCCAGTGGTGCAAGTGTTGCAACGACTGGGGAGAGAAGAGAGATGCAATGGACTGCCGATAGCCCAGTTTGTTGGGTTTCGCCTTCATAGCCTGTCCATCATGCATTGTCTTCTTCCGCCAGTGTAGTCGTTGGGTTCCCATGTTGGTCACCTCTTCCGCCTATACCACTGTTGGGGTCTTGTTGGAGCTCTGTAAGCATGTCTGCCTGATGCGGGGCTCCACCGCAGATTTTTCGTTCGGGGTTTACTCCCGTGGCCTTATACCTACCAAGGTTAATCCACAAGGTAGTGGGGCAATGGTTGGTAGGCGCCAGGACGTGTCCACATGCCAGTGGGCCTATGCGCCGTCCCTCTGGGGCCCACTGCTTAGTTAGGTTTTATATGTTCGTGAACCAATTTCATGTTTTTGGGGTATGATATTGGGGTTTTCTTGTTATTGGGGAACTGAACTATTTTTCAATATTTTCTGTTATTCAAGATACAAAAAATCACTTTATGAATGATTTCTCAGGAACATAACCCATTTGTTAAGCAACCTATATAATCTTACCGTTAACATTTGGATTACAGTTCAGTATCTACAAAATAAACTTCCCAATCTAACTAGGTCAACATCAAAGGTAGTAATTGCATAATGACAGAGGATATGAACACAAAACATTGACTAAAAGATGTGGTAATACAATTAAGGTTTTATAAAATCATAAAACCTATGATTATTATATAATCCTCAATGACTCTGTGCATGTTTATGGATCTGTAGTGCATATGATGAGGATGTTCCGTGGATGTTTTGTGGAGATGAAGGTGGATCTGTAGTGGATATGATGTTGATGTTCGGTGAAAGTGATGTGGATGTTCAGTGGATATGTGGATAAGTAATCAAGGTCAAGTAAGTCGCATCCATTATCGGTCTCACTATAATTACACATCATCATAACTTTAAATTTAGCTTCATTTAATGATTATGGTACAGTATCTTACTTTTCATAAACAATTGATTACTTCTATATGCTTAACTAATTATGTCTTATTTGTATTATTATTTATTAGTAATATGCTTAAACAGTGCTTTGTCATCCATCCATAATATCTTGCGAGTAACCGAGTCACAACACATTATAAGGTGGCAGTATCCCCATGATAGGCCGATGAAGCATCACTCGTGTTGACATTTATTGAGGGCGAGAAAACTATGCCATTTCAGAAAGCATATCGACTTTCTTTATTCAATATATATTTAATAAACCTTCAAAAACTTGTCCACTAACACATGCATACCATCTTCACTGAATGCCCACATCATCTCCACTGTACATCTACATAATCTTTACAACGCATCCACGTCATATCCATTCCACATCTATTTCTTCTCACACTATACAACCTGCTGCACCTGGGAAGCTAGAACCTTTGGGGAGATTTTTAGTTGTCCAAGCTAGCAAAAAGGATAAACATATTGCACAAGTGTGTGCGAGGTGCACTGTTTAAATGAAATAGGCCTAACTAGATATGTCACCACACGCACTATTGACAACCATCCAGTGACTCGGCAAATAATATATGTTTACCTCCCACACAGAATAAACACAATGCACTTCCTTTATCTTATTTTATAATCTTAAACTGTATTATATTTTCTTTACCTGGTATTTCTAAATCACAAGAGTGATGAAATTATTTTTCCACAACTTTTATAGTTTCATTATATGTAACAATATCAACATGCAAAACCATCTCTGAGGATACAGCTGAACGGTGATGCATTATGTTTTGAGTTGCGCACCTTATTCTGATTGGCTGAAACAAAACAAACATCCATAGTGATACATTCTTAATGGATTCCATTAGTTTTCTGTCGTTTTATTTATTATTTTTTTTAACCTAGTTCAGACTGGGAGTCATTCTCCTATCTCAGATATTATAGAAATTAACAAACTATTTACCTTAACTCAAACAAGATAAACTCATACAGATTCTGCATGGTATTGTGACAATTTATCTGGACTAAAAATACGAAACTTCTTCATATACAGTACAGTACTATACACTTAACGAAGTTCAGTACAGTACTGTACAGTATTGGACAAATTTTTTGGATTCGTTTTACGGTATACCGAAAACTCTCAATACCGAACTGGCTGCTCGTCAATTATTTTGGTAGAGAGGTAATACTGTATACTGTACATTCTTCACAATCTTTTAAGCCAAGAAACTTAAAGTGTTGACTTGTAAAAACAAAACAATAATAATAATAATAATAATAATAATAATAATAATAATAATTATCTTCCTTTCAGAGGTTCTCAATCCTTTACAACATTCACCAGATTTCTATGGCAGATTCTTAATATCCAACCACTTTTTATACACAACCACTCCTGATTTCCTTCACTTTTCTTGTCTCCTTGTATCACTTTAAATTATAGGACAGTTAATGCTGCCTTCTTTTGTCAAACCAACACTGAAATTTTTTTTGTGATACCTGTATTTAGAATGAGGATGTATATCTGTGTGTGTCTGACTCTTCAATGCATCAATATGTAAGGTAAGATATAATACAACACAGGAGAATATTTATTAAAATCCAAAGAAAAATTACATTCCAGAACAAATCATCTTTGAAGCATGGCTAAGAGCGATGTCACAAACAATGTAAGGGACTCACCAGGTTGTGTATAACATTAGTGAGAGTCCAAGCTGTAGGTATGGAAATCAGTGGTATGGAGAGAAGGAACAGGTGTAGAGCCAATACTCCAGCCAGGTAAGACAGCCAAGCTCCCCGACTGCTGTGCCATGATGAGTTGGGGTTTACTTCTCCGTGACCTCCGGATAGCATTTTAATACAAACACTTATCAGCTCCAATCGTTTGGGTGTAGAGACAAAATAGTCACGACCTGAAATAAAGTCCAACTTTAAATAAAGAATGAGTGTCTGCACTGTTGATGTGGTTTGTAAAATACACATGTGTCCACATGTGTATATTTTTATTTTTCAACATACTCACTAAATTTGCAAGGGGTGTGGCAGTCAAATGGATACAGGACTTGCCTATTGTCTTACAGGTGGCTGGTTCATGCCTGGGGCACCCCAGTTGACCCAGCTGCATATGGGTACTGGTACGGTACTTAAACTTACAGGTGGGATAATGAAGGGAGTTGAGCTCATTGGTGGTCTCAGTGCCTTCATGTGTACCAAAGGCTTAAAATGCCAGACATGAAAGAAAGTGAAAGTGGGTTCCACAGGCATGACTGCTTGTTAGGGACAATGTGGATACAGGACACTGTACTACCAGGCATGGAGTAATTATACGTATTTTCGAGTCCCGACGTAAGTGATTGCGCTGTGTACTGACAAAATTTTCGTTTGTAATTCCATTTAAAATGGCTGGCATGCTTAAAAGTGAGAGTTTTGTGGTGCTGAGAAGAAAAAGAGACACCCATTTTAGATTTTCTATGTATTATCTTTGCATTTTCGACTTACAACCAATTTGACTTATGACCTGGATTTGGGTCCCTAGCCCCGCTGTAAGTCAAGGAGCAGCTGTAATCTGTAATCAAAATTGAATACCTCCCGTACAATCAATTCCACTGTTCAATTACTTTTATGATTACAGTACTGTACATGCATTTACAGTACAGTATTCTTATTACAGCAAGTCACCGACTTATGTAGGTTCTATTCACATTGTTTTGATAAAATGCCATTTAAAAATTATGGACAAATGTTCTGAACAAGTCATGCCTACCATATATAACATAAATTTTCCACGATGAAAAGTAAAAACATTTACACTGCATACCAGAAACAACATTGCTGACAGCTGAGTATTTAAAATACCAATGCCACACCCCCACCACAGTCAGAAAGCACAGAGTGATAATCTTGCATCAACTTTTTAAGGACCCTTAACCGTGAGTGGAAATCATTGCCTGCAAGTACATCCATCAAGGTGTATGCAATTTTGGTTTTATTTTGTTGAGTACCCATGAAACCGTATTCATTTAATTGTCTAAGTACAGTATTTATACTTTTCATTTGTTCTGTATTGATGTTGATTTTTTCTTTAATACTTTACTGTACAGTATTAAGATAAGTTAAATGAGGCTTAGGATAGGTGAAGTTATATGAAAATTTGGCCCAGACATGAATCTCCAATCAGATGTGTTAAGTGCCAGCATGAGACTCAGGTAAACAAAGCCCCCCTCCCACCCTCTTTCTCTGATTTTTGCACTTTAGAATTATACTCTGACTATACTGTACTGCCAGACTATTTTATTCAGCTTAGGCAGGGGTAAATCGAGGGGGGGGGGGTCCCGGGGGGTTGAAACCCCTCATTTTCACCAGAAAATTGCAGTACAGTATTGTACTCAGGCATCTTTATATAGCAAAAAGTAATTACTATTAACTTCAGAATATCCCCTAATATCAAGTGCACATAGCTTTAAATTGACCTCAAAAAGCCTATGATAGTGATCAGATTTCAAAAAATCTTCCAGGGGGGGGCTTACAGCCCCCCCCCCCCCAAGCTGGGTGGGCTCACTGTGCTCGCCATCTTCCCCCCCTCCTTTTTGATATTCCTGGATTCGCCCTGGTTAGGGAAACCTCCAGGAGCCAAAGGGTTAAGAACTTACCAAAAAGATCCTAAATTAGGACCATAAAGAACTAAAAAACAGCAACAACAAGTTTTAAATCATAGTACAGTACTACAGTACAGTACAGCACAGTACTCATATACAAATAAAGGAAAAAAATATCAACAAATACTGTACAGTATCTATTACGTCTATAAAGTAACAAAAATATATCATTAGCTACTCGATTTATTATTTAAGTCATTCTTAAGGTATCAAAGATACTTACGGTAAACAAAATAAAACCAAACACTCCTTTTTATGATTAAATGAAGTACTACAGTAAGTCCCTAAAGGTGCTTCATGGGCTTTGTGACTAAAATACAGTTCAAAAGTCCAATAACTAAAAATTATGAATATCATTCTAATTACACTGTATTATTCAACCATGTATCACTCATAAATATGATAAAAAATTTAATTCCAAACAGTTTGCTTTTTATTATTAAATAAAGTTACAGACCAAAGGTCCTTTACGGGCTTCATGGCATCAATTAGTTCAATAACAACAACCAAGCCCAATTCCCATGCTAAAGCCACCTCCACCACCAGCATTACCAAACTCCCCAGTCAATCTTTACACATAGTTGATCTCAGGATCAAGGGAACTAGGTGTCGAGTTTCAACTTGTGGAGACTCTTCAACAGTTGAAGTAGTGATAGAGGTGTTCACCCAGATAAGCTGCACATATCGCCTTTAACCACTCCTGTTTGGGATCTCATCTGAGCTTAATAAAACTGTTTGGTGTTAACCAAATAAAATATTAAGACTGGCATCACCATAGTGAAGTTGTCATGGGTTCGATTTCTTCCACTACATCAACACTGTACTTCTCACTAAGTACTCCAGCTTGTTCATGCAAGTTTTCTTGGTTCAGGCCTTTCTCAAGCAACATTACAGTATCAGGTTGCCATACCACACCAAGGATCCCAGCCACCATCTCCTTTCTCAGCCAAAACTGCATCCCAACTCTCTTTCAAATGTTTGATGTTCAATTATGGAAGAATTTTTAGTGCCAATGTCCACATCCAATATCACAACTCTGGCTTGCAGAAATGTGTTTGTGAAGTTGATAGTTGTGAGGACTTTAAGCCAAGTGGAAGCTATGAGGCACAAACTCACATATGTTTGAATGCTGTTAACATCCAATCAAATCTCTGCTGTCAGATTCAAATCCCGTGCAATTTCAATAGCCTTCTTTATCCCAGGATGTGTCCCCAACATGCTGTACAGAGAGCAACCAACATGTTCCTTCAAATTTTCCAATCCTTGCAGGCTAGACCAGAACACATTGTAAAGTTCCAGAACAAATGCAAAGAACATTATCATCTCCTGGTAATATTCAGTGGCATGAACACCAATTGGGTGAGTATGTGACTTGTGGGTTGACTTTCTGTACTGTACAGTACTGTATAGCTTGATTGTCTTTGTAAAAGCCACTTATGTTGCTACCATTGGTAAACCCTTTGCCACAGCAGTCTGCTCTGTACATGGATTGGGCTTCCTAAGGGTATTATGGATCAGTCCTGCAATTGCTTTTCCCATTTTTTATTGCAGTCCACAAACTCAAGAAATCTTTTTCGTATTTCTTATTTCTTGATTCAAGTGAACATAGCGCAAATTAACAGTTGTTCGATGTACGCTAAATGAAGAATAGAGATTAGTACAGTACAGTACTTTGAGGATTCCAGTTAGTTTAAGATAGTATTTGTCACAGTATTCATGCAGTACAGGGCGTCCCCGGGTAACAAACGGGTTCTGTTCACGAGGACGTTCTTAAGTCGGATTTGTACACAAGTCAAAACACATGCTATGTGCATACTGTACTTACAGAACAATGTTTAAAATCCCACTATATCATAGCCTAAGTCCTTATAAACAGCTAAATTCACTTAATTTATGACAAAAGAAGAAATAAAACTAGAATGACAAAATATAGTAAATTAAAGTAAAAAATAAGTTATCAGGTAAATAAAATACAGTGTACGTACGTACTGTAAATTTCAAGTTTAACCCCGTTCGTATCGGCGGGCATTCATAAGTCCAGGACCCCCTATTATAGAAATTCATTTCTATTTTCTGTAAACAGGCAAGTAAATAGAAATCAGAAATGTGTCATCTGAGATTTCTTTATTTTACTTAAATATTCTTCAAGAATTGCATCATAATAGTTGATCAACTCCAAAATACCACAAAAATTATATTGTGTACCATTCACCCAAGAACGTCACATCTAGAAATCTGCATAGTATTCGTTTCCAATGTGTTGCCTGACTCTGAGTAGCTGACCAATGGTATAATCACACTCGAGGTGCTTCTCCAAGTTACACTATTCCTTGCAACACATTTTGTGGCTACTATTGTTTTGGTGTTTAGGAATCATTTTGTGCAGCCTCTTCTATTTATGTCAAAAGAAGTACTGTAGCCTGAAGTTGAAGCTACTGTAGTGAGGAGTGACTTGGCAGCAGGAGCTTACCGTACTGAAAAAGACAGTGTGGAATGTAAAACAATGCTTGTTTACTTTTGCTTGAGATGAGCCATTTGTCAATTTAGTGTAAAGTTGGTACAGTACAGTATACAGCACAGTATAGGAAATGAACGTCCAACCACATCATCAGGAAATTGTGTGGGATAACTTTCATGGCCTTGCCAATGACCCTTATTTTGAATAACAGTCGGTACAGTAAACCCTTGATAACTCGGCACAGATGGGGCTCTGGCCTTGCCGAGTTATCCCAAATTCTGACTTATCGAGGCACTTCCCCCTCCTACAAAAATACAACAATAAAAAATTATTGACCCATATATGTGTACAGTACATATAATTACTGAATGTAAAACGTAACACTTACCAGCACTGCAAGTGAAGAATGAAGCATCATGGTAGGTGACACAGAAGCATGTTATGCGACACAGAAGCATGGTAGGTGACACGGAAGCATGGTAGGCGACACAGAAGCAAGGTACGTGACAGAGGCATGGTAGGTGATGCAGGTGGCCAGATATGCCGAGATTTTCCCAGATAATTTTATATATCTCGGCATTTCCCGAGTTATACTACAGAGTATCCATGCCGAGTTATATGAAATTCCAAGATATCAAATGCTGAGTTTACTGTAGTTAGAATTTTCAATTTTCCTAATGATAGTATGTATAGTATGGGTATACGTACATGTATTTATATGGCAATATACACGAACCAACAAAACAACTTACATACCTAACCTAGGTAGCTACTACTTGCTTCTTCAGTCAAGTGTCCAAGGTATGATTATGACTGTTAGTACAGTACTGTATCGGGATGATCGGCATACTGTACATGGTACAGTATTGTTGTAAGAGACAGACCGTGGCCAAGAAGGAGTTGAAGTGATCTTGTAATTATGGGTACAGCATATGGTGTCTGCATTTAAAGCCACTAGGTTGGACAAAGTACACATGCCAGCGTGGAAAAACTTGTTCTGCAATACGTTCATCAAAATAATAATTCTCTCAGTGCTAAGCAACAGGAAATTTGGAAATATCATTTACAACATTTGTCAACTGGAAAAACTTTTGTTCGGATGTCTGCGAACATTGGGTGGATAGCCAAGAACTCATCAGTGGCCTTGGTGTTGCAGTTGAAGTGGATGAAAGCAAGTTTGGGAAGTCTAAATACAATCATGGCCATGAAGTGAAAGGAATGTGAATATTGGGAGGTATAGAAATTGTCTCGAAAAGGAAATTCATTATGCCAGTAGCGTTTATTTTAAAAATATCAAATTTTTAACATATCTCCACAAACTACAACAGTGTCCACTATAATAAAACAATGAAAATCCGGCATTTTTATAATGGTTTTCAACCACTTTCGCTCGCGGGTTAGGCCTATATAATTACCGAGAGTTCTGCCACATTAAAATTTTCTCACTGTGCAGATTACACAATATTAATAATTTTTTCTCACACACAAAACTCAGTGTGGATAGAGGTTAATTATACTTAAACTTCGCCTCACTGCATCCAAGGATGGCAATGTGCATTATAGGATGAAGTACAGTATTACACTCACCCCTTCTTATAGTACCACTGAATTGAAATAAAATAATGTCCCTATCTTCAATTCTTGGCCCCCCCCCACCTTTCCAGAAACTTATATACACCACTGCCTACAACTGTTAATTAAGGTAAATTGTTTACACATTGAGATTAGGTCAAGTCCTTCTTGTTTCTCTGGTTAGCAGCTTTTGTTTTTTGCATGTCTTTACCCCACAATTTCCCTCAACTTTAAGGCCCTGCCGACTGTGTGCAACTAACAATGTTGGTAATTGGGGGTCATATCTCCATAACTATTCATTTCCGCCGGAAATATAGGTCAAGTTCGTATGAAACACTATACGTAGCTAAAAGTAACCTATTTTTTGGTAAATTTGCATTTTCAACCAATATGGCTCTCAAGTTGTGCGGTTTTTTTCCGGTGGTTTTTGATGTTTTACTCGATTTTGATATAGATTTTTTTCAGAAATCACTCGTTTTTGAGATATCCCCCCTACTACCAAATAAGTGATTTCCAACAAAAATCAATATCAAAATCGAATAAAAAAAAACAAAACAAAAACAGGAAAAACACATTGCTCAACTCAAAACCAACCTAACGAAGAATGGATTCACTTCATTTCGTCACCAATCCGGTTAGTCACCACCCGGTTCGTCACCAATATCAAATTTGTTTCATCACCACTAACACAGTAAGAAAAGAAAAGGAGTCTATGACGTCCTGAACTTGCAGCATACGCCAGAAGAATAACAAGTGTCCAGCAAGTGTAATTCAGCGAGGGACAACATTCAAGCCAGGTCTACACGCTCACAACCACCCTGGAACACCAGGCCTTCTTGTTGAAGAGGAATTAACTAGCTACAAACTGAGCCACCCTTATGCCCAACAGTTGCATAAACCAAGCAGCATTGTCAAACAAGGTAACAGACATTGCCAAGCTCAAAGACCACACCACCCAACCCAACTCAACTTTGAACTCATGTCTGACAGCCTGCCACCTGATTTCATTTGAACAGACATACTGTACAGATATGCAATGACGATAACCAGACTGCTGAACACCACATAGTCATGGTCACCGATAATCAGCTTCACATTATAAGTTCTGCAAGATGGAGATGGAACATTAAGAATAGTATAAAAAGCATTTTATCAGTTACTGTCCATACGTCCCTTCTTTAAAAAAATGTCTTAGTAAGATGCTTGCATGATCCAATGTATGTACACAAAGATAGTAAACCAGCCATTACGTCTTTACTACTTCAGTGAATATATAATGAAGGCCCAAAGCCCTTGAAATGGTGATGGGAATGAACTCGGTGACGAAAAGGGTAAAAAAAATAAATGGTGACGAAATGGGTAGAAAATGTGGTGACGAAATGGGCACATCCCCATAGAATGGGTAAATTTGCATTTTCAGCCAATATGGCTTTCGAGTTGAGCAATGTGTTTTCAGGAGTTTTTTAATGTGTTTTATTCGATTTTGACATTGGTTTTTGTGGGAAATTACTCATATTTGAGCTTGGCCCTCCCCACTACCAAAAATTTGATTTCCAACAAAGATTGCGACAAGCAAAAGTAGAGTTCAAAAGGTGGCTCTCAACGAGATCTTTTAATTTTTAAGTAAAAAACCTTTGGCTTTATATTGGTTGAAAATACAAGAATACAGTACCCTATTTTCGGTATTATTGCGTTTCCACACCGTTCATTCCTACCACTAATCTATTATCATATTCGAATAAGACGTCTAATTATAAGATAATTTTCATCTATTACATTACCGGCGGAAATGTATAACGGAGATAGCTTTTCCAAAAAATTTCTATTTTCTTCCATTAACCTCCCGCCATTATTGTCTGCCTCTCACCCAACACTGCATGTCTCTCGCGTCTCCTTCAAAAATCATGACGCGCATGCGTACCCGTACACGTCACGCGGCCAATCAAAAGCGTTTTTGCTTTTGGAACCAATTAAAATGGTTTTGGGATTAATTCAGAGTATATTTGGCCCAATCAAAATCGAGTTTTATTTTGGGTCTCTCATATTTTGAAATTCAAGTTCAGTTCCTACCATGGAAGTCTGCGATGGATGTCACTCAAAGTATATGGAGCTGATTGCGAGTTTTTGGAAAAAAAACATAGAAACTATAGCATTTTTTCGATCGCATGGTGTTCTTCCAACCTCTGTAAAGTGTACTAAGAGCAAGACTGAGTGTAAATATCGCAAAGACCAACATATGTGGCGTTGTGTAAGAATCCCATGCAACGACGAACAAGAACCAGGCCAATAAGGTAAGAAATAGGTGATTCCATCATATGGTGAGAGTCAGTTAAGTTAGGCTAGGTTTTTGTTTTTCTAGTGTTTTTTTTTGTGTATTTTTTAGTCGCTTAGCCACTTTTTTTTTTGGAAAACGTCAAAAGAAAAAAAATCGCTAAAAAACCCGGCTAATTTCCGCCCAAAATGAAGGTCATATTGTCTAAACATACACAAATACACTAGAAAAATAAATTTTTTACTTGCTTAAAGTGAATGGTGTGACAATGCAAATTTACCCTATTTTCCATGCATGGAAATTTCTAAATATTTACAAAATTGCCTAGTCTATGGATATTACTGGCTAGTGTGATATCAGCTTAACCAATTTTCACCCCTAAAATTTTTAAGCAATTTTATATTCTCAAGGCAACTTTCATGTAAATCTGATAACTTGGTGAGGCTCTTATGGAATTTTACCAAAACACAAAGAAAACAATCCATTCATAGTGATATACCAACACTTACACCATTTTTGCATTTCACAACATGTATACTAGGTAAAGGCAATTATGACTCAGACTGCTTTAAGAGTTTAGTCATGTGTAGTACAAAGCCAAATTAAAACTTTCAAACATACAGATGTGAAGAAAGGTAATGTCAACTATTACTCAGCAGCCTGGCAGTGACACACACATTAAACAAACCTTTCCTCAGTAAACACAGTGTGGTAAGCTGTGGATATATTAGAGGGTATCCAACACAACCATCACCATAAATTATCACACCACTTGGCCTTGACCTCATTGAATAGGCGACGTACTACTTTAAACTACAATAACTACTCACCAATCACACACTAACAACCATCACAATATATTACACACATATTTTGACAACTATTATAAGGAAAAATATATTGATATTCTTACAAAAAATTCCTACTAATATATTCTGCTGAAGTGTTGAGGAAATATAAGTAACTATAGTACACAAAGGTGGTGGTGAGGAGGAGAGTGTTGGGCGCCACACATAGGCTCAGACTCTCTCTTACACGGTATTGGGATGTAATAAATGTGTATCAATACCACTTATACCACTTCTTCTTTAACTTATTCCTTACAGATGCCAACTGAAAACACTACTTATCATTAGTCATTCTTATAATACTTTAGGTGTATTTTAACTTTCCAGCTTATAGATAATAGGATAACAGGAGGGTAGAGGATATATATACTTGTTATTGAGTAAGGTGAGGTAGGACGAACAGGCGGAATGTCCTAAACTGTTCGATTCCTATGGTGTAAGAATTTCACGTGGTCCTTATGTATTTGTTTTTAATGTACAGATAGTTAAAAACGATCGATAAAATAATCATAATTTCCATCATCTGGGAAAAATGTGATATATGTATTTTTTATCTGATTGTGAGATTATATTTTCCGTATGTGTGAGTGTAAATGTGAGTTGAAAAAGTCCGAACACACGAGGAGGTCTCACGGAATATACCGCCTCTTGTACACCTCGGTCCTCCACCTAATTTTGTGATTTCGACATGTCTTGGTGGACTGCATCCATGGGGAGGACGTGCAGATGACCTGGGCAAACAGTGGGTGGTGTCAGAGGTCCAACTAGTGCGTTAAAGTGGCTCTGGCCACCGATTCTTATGAAGACTTAGAATATGATGTCTTCTCAGAGGCAAAGCTTTGTCAGTGAGAGTGTTACAAACGGCCAGAGAAAAAGGTTTTCGTCAGGTTCCCCGGATTGTCCTCACTTGCAAAAGAAAATTTGCCGACAGACAGACATGATGGAAAGTCAAAAACTCGCTAATTTTTCTGTTGCTCCCAATGGCGTGAGTAAAAACACGGTCCTCGGGAAGAAGCAGGGCACGGAGAAGAAGGTTTTGGCCATCAAGAATTTTAAAGGTAAGATAATAACAATATTTTGCATGTTTTAAAGTATGTGTCAGGTGTTTGTAATATGGTAAAACTTACAGTAGACCCAGTTCTACTGGGTGTACATACAGCACCTGGACAATATGGGGTGCCAGTGTTAAATGCCATATGCCAAGTAGGCATTAGGACAATCCCAGATTTGTACAATTATAGCTAAAGAGAGATCTTACTTCATGTTAACCTCACTTTATTGGATAGTAGTGGAGGAAACGGTTAGCTGTACCAGCCAGAAAATGACAATCTTTTTAACTTACTTTCACAGACTTGCTAATTCATTATTAGGGCCTTTGGTGACCTTCACATTAAGGCCACTAGATAAAACTTCAGGTATAGTACTTATATAAATCCTGGAAAGTGTACTGTCAATGGTGTAGTTTAGTCGTCTTCTCAATAATTGATTAAACAAACAATCTCAATAGCTAGTTCAAGTTTAGCTGAGTGAACTTATTAACTACCTTGCTACAATATATATATATATATATATATATATATATATATATATATATATATATATATATATATATATATATATATATATATATATATATATATATATATATATATATATATATATATATATGAATTTATACTAGGAGCCATAGTGTGTGCATATACAGTATGTGCTCTAGTGCTTCCCTTGTCCTGTGGTTTGGTTTTATCAAGATATATACAATACTGTACTGTAGGTGTCATTATTTGATTTCAAATTCCTGTTAATCAATGAACTGACAAAAATCTTCACTGAACTATGTACTGTATGTCTGATTTTGTCAGGATTGAACCACTGAGTACTGCCAAGCTTGATACGTTATACAGTATATTGTTCAGTAGTTTGTTCATGCAATAATCAAATATAGTTCAGTGATACCCTGTACTCACAGATGTATGGCTTTACACCTTTATCACCCTCTCGATGCACTACATGGTCATGACACTGCTTCAGTCCCAACATGTTATCATTCTTGGGTGTAAAGTTGAACATTACTCCAATCATGTACAGCACATCTAACCTGTTTCAAAATAGTCAATGATTTAGAGTTTACCACTACAGTTTTGCAGGCAAGCTGTTAAAGTTGTCAACCACTATTAGAGAAGACAGATTTCTTTTTAAGTTCTATCTTGTTCTTTATATTTTTCTTATGTTCTCTTGTAATTGAGGTCAGCTCTTCAAATATATATTAACATAGCTACTTCTCTGCCATATTTATTACAGTACTTATGATCTTGAAGCACTCAATGATACCACCTCTAGACCTTCTGTATGTTAGTGTGGAAAGTTCCATCTTTTTCGATCTTTCTTCATATGTTTGTCCTTTTAATGATGGCACCAACCTGGTAGCTCATCATTGGACATTTTTTTATTGCCTCTACGGATACACCCCATTTTGTCACCACCCGGTTCGTCACCAATATCAAATCAATTCGGTCACCACTAACAGTCTGGTGATGAAACAGTCGCTGATATTAGAGTGACAAATTGCAAGTTATTATTTAACATGAATAGAAATTACACATGTTTACAGACGACTCGAGAATTATTGTGTTATTATTATACGTGAATATTAATTATTTAATAAAGAAAATTATTAAAACATTGGTAAATAAACAAAATACAGAACAAATGAAGGTGATAATCTCTTCACCACCTTCAGCGCAGGTTATGGTTAGACTGTCAGGTGATTTCTTTAAACAACGGGCAATTATCAGGTAAATCACTCGATGGAAATGACTGGCAGTTAATTTACAGCTTTTTGATTATTTGATCTTTTTGGTATGCCCAGGTTTACCGGGCCACATAGCCTGTTGTATGTTAAAACCAGTTATTTGTGATTACTACTAGCAAGTAAATAACTAATGTTTATTTTAATTGCATCTTACATCGGTGATAAGACTGGTTGAAATTGTCACGTGACTAACTGGCCAACCTTACCAAAGTGGATATGGGCGATCTTAACACTCGTAAAAAGCACACTAGTTACTGAACACTGCCACCTACAACACCAAGCTTGCCCTTCAACTCAGCATGGCTTCTACAAGCAGTATTCAGTTTTGTTCTGGATGTGGCAAGGAAGTACGATCATGGGTGCAGGCTCTCTCCTGTGATTATTGCCATCAGTGGAGACTGGAAGTGTGGCACAACCATCACCCAGGATATGTACAGGCAAACATTTAAAGGAAGGTGGATCATTTGTCCGGCACTGTCCAGAATGCCCTACGACTGTTGACCTCCCCTTGGATGAATCTTCTTCTACTGCTGCTGACCTCCCCATGGATGAGTCTTCTACTAGTGCTGACATTTCGTTCACAGTTAATTTTCCTATTGAGCCAGTCACCCCAGTACAAGAAACATCTCTTCAAGATGAACCGTTCCCAGAAAACCTTCCAGATGATCAACCAGTTATTTGGGAAGTTGTTCCCACTGGTACAAGCCCTGGGAAGCTATGGTTGCACAGCTCTGATGGTTATACATACACAATAAGAAAAGAAAAGGAGTCTATAACGTACTGAACTTGCAGCATCCGCCAGAAGAATAACAAGTGTCCAGCAAGTGTAATTCAGCGAGGGACAACATTCAAGCCAGGTCTACACGCTCACAACCACCCTGGAACACCAGGCCTTCTTGTTGAAGAGGAATTAACTAGCTACAAACTGAGCCACCCTTATGCCCAACAGTTGCCTAAACCAAGCAGCATTGTCAAACAAGGTAACTGACATTGCCAAGCTCAAAGACCACACCACCCAACCCAACTCAACTTTGAACTCATGTCTGACAGCCTGCCACCTGATTTCATTAGAACAGACATACTGTACAGATATGCAATGATGATAACCAGACTACTGAACACCACATAGTCATGGTCACCGATAATCAGCTTCACATTTTAAGTTCCGCAAGATGGAGATGGAACATTAAGAATAGTATGAAAAGCATTTTATCAGTTACTGCCCATACGTCCCTTCTTTAATAAAATGTCTTAGTAAGATGCTTGCATGATCCAATGTATGTACACAAAGATAGTAAACCAGCCATTACGTCTTTACTGCTTCAGTGAATACATAATGAAGGCCCAAAGCCCTTGAAATGGTGATGGGAATGAACTCGGTGACGAAAAGGGTAAAAAAAGTGTTGACGAAATGGGTACACCCGCCTCTACATCTTTTACAAGATGTGGTGACCCTTATGTGGATAGCACATTCACCGTGATAAGGCATTTGATTTTTATTTATTTATTTTTATTTTTATTTTTGTGGATTAGCCCACCCAGGCACAGTTCACTGACCCACTCAGGGCCTGGGGGTGAAAAAAATATACACGTAAATAAAAAATAATAAAAAATAAAACACATAGAGTGAGAAACAATATACAGTATTCTGTATGTTATGTTGTCAAAGATAAGCCATTGAGACCCTGCAATGTGTGTTAATCAGGCAGAAAGTCAGTCAGATCAGCAACCTGGGACTTGGTCACAATTTTTGTAATGCCATATGGCAGCAGGTTCTACCAATAGACAAAATATTATGCTTCCAATATCTTTCCAGTCAGTGGTACCTCACTGTTTGATAGCTGCCTACTCAAAATAGCTTTTTGCAAAATTTCTGTAGGCCACAACCCACTTGCTGCTTTATAAGATTCAATTAAAATTAACTGTAGTACATGTAAGATTTAATACAATATAGTTAGGTAAATGTGCAATGTGCCACTGAAAGACAGGAGGCCCTGTCCATGACTAAGAAGGCAGCTGGGTATTGAAAGTACAGTACATTGGTGAAGTTCTGCATAGACATAGGCCGAGATGGTCTGGGTATGTTAAGAGAAAGGATGAGACCAATTGAGTCAAGAGGAGTAGGAGCCTAAATGTGGAGGGGAGAAGAGCCAGGGGCAGGTCAAAATTACATAGGGAAAGGTTGTAGGAAATGACATTTGAATTAAGAACCTGACAGGAGAGACTTTGGAAACAGCCAGAAGTCACAGGGGACCAGATCTGGAGAGTATGGAGGGTGGGGGGCCACTGGGATGCCATGCTGTTTCCGAAGTTCAAGTTGAACCTCAAGGGGAAGATCATGGACAGAATGGAGATCCAGGACACATTGCAGAAGGTGTTCTCCAGCCTCACCAACAAGGACTTCCAGATCTGCTTCCAGAAGTGGGAGGAGGGGATTCAGCACTGCATTAAGGCCTCTGAAGAATATTTTAGGTGTGACTAGAGTTTCAGTGTAATATCTTGAAAAATAAAGATTTTATGAAGCCAGTCCAGGAAGTTTTGAATCACACTTCGTGTGTACAGTATGTATGTATGTATGTATGTATGTATGTATGTATGTATGTATGTATGTATGTATGTATGTATGTATGTATATATATATATATATATATATATATATATATATATATATATATATATATATATATATATATATATATATATATATATATATATATATATATATATATATATATACACAGTATATATTGTTACGCCGTCACTTAATTTACTTTATTATCCAGGCTCTAAGCGTAACCAAACAAAAAAAGTGAAGTAAATCAAAAGGGAATAAAAATAAATAAAGTAAACCTTTAAGAATTTAATTAAATTAAACACAAAAAAGAGCCTCGTAGGCTTTCACAACAAATTGATTCACTATCGAAACTTTTAAGACACAAATGATACTAAAACATCGAAACATTAAAAGAACTGCTTAAACATATAGAATAAAAATAAAGCACTGGATTACGTTAACACTGCATAAACATATAAAATAATTAACACTGAAATTAACTATCGTGAAACAACACTGAATTACTTAAATGTAACTAAGCAAGCACTGATGGACACATAAGAGACATGAGTAGGTACTCACATAGATATACCACATTGGTGGCGACAGGAACAACACAGAAATAAAATAAGGTATAAGTAACAGGTGACGGGTGTCACTCAAAAGAACGTGGACTGAATGACAGGAGGACT